GAGTGCCGAAAACAAACAGTAACTTTGAGCTGTTCCGATCCCACTGGTGGTGTCTCTCAGTGCCCACGTGGCTGTTGTGCAGAGCTGACAGTGAGCACGGAGAGGCACGTTTTCTGCCATCCCAAAACACTTAATTGGCACATCCCTTCCTGTGCAGGGGCACTGACGGGCGGGGGGGGGAATTGTGCTCTGCCGTGATTTTTTTCTGGGCAGGTTGTTTTTGGTGACATTTTTACTCCAAGCTCAGAGCTTTGTGCCTGTCAGAAGGGAGCAGTGCAGATGGACATGTACGACTCCAGACACGATGCTCCCTTGCTGTTGGCTGACTGACATGTCCCATGGGATCCTGCAGCTTGTTAAATCATCTCACAAAGGAGACGGGGGAGGGAAAGCCCAGTGCAAGGTTGCCAGCTGTAGCCAGCTCGGTGCTGCAGCATCAGCTGCTTGGTGGCTTTGATCGGGAATTTGTGTCTGCCCGGGCAGCTTCCTTCCATTTCTCTGGGAGTGCTGGATGGAGGGAAGGCCAAGGAGAAGTCTGCACCATCTACACATGTCCTGCAGGTCTTCTCTGCACCTAGTTATTTTGTATTGTATTTTCTTGCAGTTAGTGGCATCTTCTTCAGTGCTGTGGGAGCAGAGCTGAGCTGCAAACAGAGAGCAGGGAATGCTTCCCTGAGCAGTGCTCTAATTCATGTTTGCAGATCTGGGGTATTGCCAGCTCCAGGCTGGTTTATCACATTCATAACATTGCTCAGTTTGTTGAATTTTTGCACAAATGTTTTGATTCCTTTTGCTCCTACTCCTCAAAACCCCATCTAGTAAGATGCAAAAGAGGAAAATGGGCTGCAAAACCGGTGTTTAGTAAACCTCAGTTAGAGGTTTGTCAACATTTGGTAAATGTTGTCAAATCTGTCCTCTCCTAGGGGTCACTTTCCCACTTTGAAGAGCAGCTTCAGGGCTTCATGTCAAACCTTCCATCTGCATGTTGGGTGGCTGCCTTCCCATTTTCCTTGCTCTTCCCCTACCATCGTGCTGTCCTTGGACGGGGTGTGGAGAGGGGGGTGCTCCTGCACACACCGGCCCCCAGAGCTCCTGGACCTGTCCCCAGAGTCTTGGCTTTCCCTGACTCGGCGACTGACACTTTTTACACTTCTCCCAGCACAGCTTGTTTGGCTGTGGCCTGGTGATGAGCCTTGTTTTGTGGGACTGTTCCGTGGCCTGTCATCAGCAGGGAATGCTCTGGAATGGGAGTGGGTTGCAGAGTGCCTGGAATGCTTTTAAGAATAAAGGGCGGCACACGCACACAAACCAGACCTGGATTTTTCCTGTCCTGCAGGTCTTTCTTTGCTCCTGCTCAGAGGGATTCTCTGATGTAGCACACCCTGCACGCCTGACCTGGCCTTTCTGTCCCCACTGCATAATGCGGGTGACAGAGCCCACTGCCACCCCCCACCATACATTAAATAAATGCATTTCCACTGCCAGGAGCCATCTGTAAGGCTAGGGCTGCTCTCTTCCTAGTGGGGATTTTAGCTTGGATGGACGAGTTTCTATTAGTGATGCCAACCCTGTCTGGTTCCTTTCTAGCATGCAGCATCAGCTGGCTTACTCACATTCCCTGCCTATATTAAGGTCCATGTTTTTCCCCATCCATTCTGGAATCCTGTATTTGAGCATGTGATCCTTTGACTTTGAGGAAAATCCACCTGTTTTTCTTATAGCAAATGAAAATCTGGAACAAGAAGTTGAAGAGTGCAGAAGTGGAAGCTTTGGCTTCCTGTGCAGCCAATAGCTGGAATCTGACTGGCTGCTTTCCATGGGCTTTCCCAAAACCTGCCAAGAGGGGCTGAGACAGTATTACTTGTGATCCAACCACATTCTCCCTTGCCCCAGCAATACTCTGCTTTAATCTTCTCCATCAGCTGTTTATTTTTGGAAAGGCTGTTGCAATATTTGGTGACTGAGGCAAGCAGGGAGTTGGGTTCCTGCTCCATTGGGAGTCCCACCATGCTGGACCCTTCCCATTGGCAGGGTGGAAACAGCAGTGGCTTCCTCACCCTTCAGGAAAACATAAGCAGCTCTCTAAATCTGAGGCCTTGCCCAAAGTGTTTGGTTGTTTGTGTTCCCCTCTGCAAGCAGGAAATACCAAGTGAGGGTCACGTTCACTGCAGGAATCCAGCTGGATGTGGATAGCTGGGATGTGTGAATGACCTGCTGTGGTGGCCTCTGGGCAATAAACTTGAGGGAATCTGCCTGCAGCCCTCTCTTTGTCTCTGAGGCATTGAGCAAAGTCCCCAAACATCTGGGGCCAGTGCTCAGTTGCTTTAAACTTCCTGGTGACCTTGGGCCAAACCACTCGTGTCCTCTGGTGTCTTGTATCCAGTATCAAGCTGTTTGTCTTTGCTGGCTGTGTAAATACACGGGGTGCGATGGCCTCTGCTCTGCACAGGCACCAGTCCCTGAGCTCTCCTGATCCTTCCATAATCCACGTTCGTGGGACCAGAAACCAGCTTTGAACATTCATCATTTGAGCTGAAAACACTGAGTTGTTCTCTGGGTTTGGCCTTGCTCTAGCCCCCTGCCTAGGGTGATTTTGTGAGTAAAGTTACTCCAGTTGGGAAGAAAGAAATGGAAAAGCAAGAGGAAAAATATGGTCTTGTTTAAAGGAACTTTGGGGTTTGACCGTGACCTAAAGCATGTGCTTTATTCAGCAGTTTTTACAATCAGGAAGCTTTATTTAAAGGCTACAGCACTTGGTGAATCGTGGAGCAGGAGAAAACTGAGCACAAGAAATAGTTTCAGTGAAGCAGATTAGGCTGTTTTCAGAGCTTTTCTGATGTCCTCACCATTCAGTTTCATTGCCTTAAGCAGATGCATCAGGAGCATCATGAGATGCTGCTCTGGTGCAGCAAAGGGGGTGAGATCCGGGTAATCTTTGAGAATGTTGTGTTTGTAATGGAGACCACTAAGTTAACAACAACACCCCTCTGTGATGTGAAGAGGTTTGGGGGGATTTTGGGGGAGAAACAAAAAAGTGGTCAAATTGGCTTCAGACCTTTACTGAGGACCTGTATTTACAGTGTTCTCCTGCCTGTGCTGGCGTCTGTGTTTCTGTTTAATCAGAAGCAGCCCAGAGTCACTCTGTACACAGAGTTCTGGGCTTTGTCCTCTGCTTCTTTCAGCACCCTTCTTCCATACCTTAGGAGAACTCTGGCCTTCCTGGCAGAGCTGGAGAGGAAGAGGAGGGAAGAGAGTGATGTACTTGACTGCAGTCTGCAAATATAAATAGTTCTCCTCTTGGATCCTTCCAGTCTGATCTTCTTTGACCTTTCTTTGATAAAGGCTTTCTTTATTTGCAGAAATAAAAGGTCAAAGGGTAGAAGAGGGCACAGCAGATGTTTTTTTAAAATATCTTTATATCTTGGCAGTTGGTTTGCACAGCACCCGGTGCTATCTGCTGGGCCAGCTCCCCCCTGGGCTCCAGCTTTCTTCCTTCTTTGAGCTCCCTTAGTAAACTTGGCATTTAACTCTGAAGCACTGACCTGAAGATTTCTGATGAAGTTTATGGAAGTGTTTTATCGTGGGGATACCCACGTCCTCCGATGGGGACAGATGTCCTGGCTCTGGTCCGCAGCCCTGCTGCCGCCTGGGCAGGTCACTTTGGGTACGGGGCTCATTTCATGTCCCCTGCACCACTGACCCTGGTTTTCCTTGGTTCATAATTTCAGCTGAAAGAAACACTTGTGTTAAGTGCTGCTGGTTTTTCCTGTATTCACTCTGAAGTAGTTTGCTCTCAGCATCCAAACACGGCTTGGTTTAATGTGTCAAACCACAGGACTCGAGCACTGCCCAGGTTATGGATGAGCAAGGGCAGCACAGGTGCAGTGTTAGAACTGCTCCAGATGGCACACGAGGCTTTCTGGCTTGAGTTCTAACCATTAATTGCCACTTTAAATCCAGCAATAAATTATTTGGGCAACCACAGTGCAGGATCCCACTGCCAGGAACAAACCAGGGCTGAGCACTACTCAGTCCCCTTTGTGCTTCAGGCCTGCACAGCTGGATGGGGCAGGGCACTCCTGCACTCACTCTGGTGTCTCACTGACCTTCTGGCCATGGTTTAAACCATCATCCTGCAAACCATGTTGTCAGTGTTGGAGGTGTATTGCATGCGTGTGTTGGTTTGCGTTTGCTCCTGGAGCGCGGGATGGTGTGCAGGATGCCTCGGGATAAGCCTCTGATTCTTTGCAAATTGGATTTTGTGGCTCACTTGCCTGTCCTCTTGGATAAAGGTTCCCCTTAGCTGCCTCTCCTCTAGAAGAGCTCATGTCCATCTCAGGACTGCAAAGCCTTTTATAATGCTCTGTGGATCAGGAGTCACTCAGAGGGAACAGGGACAGACTTTCCATTTCCCATGGAACATGCTCTAGAGTGAGTCTGTTGCTTCATTCCCTTCTGAATTTCCACTCGGTCTGCACAAGATTCCCACTGATTTGGTGCCTTTCCTGCTGTTTTTGCTCACTGTGGCACCGAGGTGCTCCTGGCTAGCAGCCCCGCAGTGATGACGAATCAGTGTGCAATCACACTGATGACCAAGAGCAGGCTCTGTATCCCACAGTCTTTGACTTACACCCCCCACTTGTGACTCTTGCCATGGAGGGAAGAGATTTTCCCAGAGTCATTGGAATTCTTCAGCGGGTGTGAATTAGCAGTGCATCCGTGTTTGCAGTCTCTTGTGGTTTACTCTAATAGACACATGTTCCTCTGAAGATCCTTTTTGGCAAGCACAAGTATGGCTGAAGGATGTGTGGGAGTGGGAGCTCTGGCTGGAAACCAGGAGAGGGTCCCTGTGCCGGTGTGTGCTGTAGCACTGAGCCCTCAGCTGGGCTCCGTGCTCCATGTGCTTGTGGCTAGCACGGCTGTCCAGATACCCACTGTGGTGTGAGAGCTCTTCTGTCCCTGTTTGCCTAAGTGTTCCCTGTCCATTTTCTGTCTTGCAGCATCTGGAGAGGGCCCAACGTGAACTGTGTTGACAGCACTGGATACACCCCGCTGCACCACGCTGCTCTGAATGGCCATAAGTGAGTCCTGTTCCGATGCCTTTGGTCACAGGGGATGGATATTTTGTGCTTTCCAGGCCAGGGGTCTGTGTTGTTCATTCACTAGCCGAGGCTTGCCACTTCTATGGCAGTGGTCAGCACTGGTGCTGCAGCACTACTCCATCTTCAGGGGGAATGGAGAATGTCACTGCTTTGGCTGCTGCACAGTGTGATCTTACATCTTGAAATACTTGGCAAAACATTGAGATTTTCAACCAACCACCCTTTTATTTCAAAGCAGTTTGGATAAGCTGTAACACCATGTGAAAGGGCTCCCTTCTCTTACAGGGATGTTGTGGAAGTCCTGCTGAGGAATGACGCCCTCACCAATGTGGCAGACTGTAAGGGCTGCTACCCCCTGCACCTGGCAGCCTGGAAGGGAGACGCCGACATAGTGAAGCTCCTCATCCACCAGGGCCCTTCGCACACCAAAGTGAATGAGCAGGTCTGCCTGGTTTTCTCTGATGTACCATTGAATCACTGCCCTCATGTGGAGAGAGACTCCTTCAGCTGACTCCTGGCCCTTCCCGAACCAGCAGCAATGGTTATAAGGTCCTGTTTGCTGGTGGGATAAGAGGGGCACTGCCTGAAGCAATACTTTCAGTTCTGAGTTAGTGGTAGGATGAGAAAGGTATTTAAGTTTTATATAGAGACACATAAATATGAGAACTTCTCAACACCTAGGAAGTGTTCTCCTGCTTCTGGGCTTCTAAAACTAACCCACAGTTCTCCTTTCAGTTGCTGGATAGCTGAGAAGGTTTCTAGTTCTGCAGAAGATCCATTGGCTCCCTCCTTTGGGAACTAATCCAGGCAGCTTTGTTTAGTCTCTGTTTGGCCGTGCTCTCTTAGCTGCTCTCCTGGCTTGTCTCTGGCACTTGCTCCAATTCGGTAATTTGTAAGTGAATAAGTTCTAAGATAATTTTAACCCTACTTGCCCCCAGATAAATCCCTAGTTTAATCTGAAAGAATTATTTTCTCGATCAGGCAAGAAAAAAAGCCTCTTGGATTTCTTCTGTTTGTCAAGCTGACAGTTTTGGTCTGGGGTGCAGAGGGAATGAGGGATATGAGATAGCTGTGTCCACTCCAGAGGACTGGCTCCCCTGTAACTGTCCTGTGCACATCAGAGGGACCTTACAGTTCCAGGGAACCTCTGGAATGCTACTGCTGGAAGACCCAAATACTTGTCTTGTTTCAGAGTTTTGTTTAAGGAAACTCATTTTCTGAGGCCAGGTGAGCAGGGGCACTGAACTTGTCACTGGGTGAGCCTGGCACACACACACACAGGCCTAAATCAGGTGCTTGAAGATGCAGTGGGCATGGTTGTCCTGTCCCTGAGGCAGGGACATCTGATGTCCCTGTGAATCAGCTCCCAACCCACTCAGGTGTTCATCAGGAGGAGAGGAGTAAAGCAAAATAGGTTTGCCTGCTTTATTAGCACAAGGCTAAACCTGACCATTCATTCCGAAGGTAATTCCCAGGTAAGTCAGACACCCCTGGCTCGAGTCCAGCAAATTGTCACAGTCAGGATGAGCAGCTGGGAACTGGGAGTCCCTGCTGTTTATTTGCTCTCTCGTGTGCAATTTTTCAGAAGCTGAGGAGCAAACTCCATTCATAGTCAGGTTTAAGAGTCCCAGTCCTGCTTCCAGCTGCACTTTGTGGGGACCGAAGTGCCACACCAAAGTTTCCTAGGACAGGTAGCTCGATGCACCAGGCTGCCCCAGGGCTAAATGCTGCTAAAACAGCAGGAATGACAAATCTAATTTCCTACACTCCTCAGTCAGGCAGAAATGATGAAGAATGTGTGTTTTAATGTCTCTGGTGATAGTTTTCCTGTTCGGGGCTGTGATTAATCATGTCTCCAGGCACAGCTGCAGGCACTCAGTCTGGTTACATAGGTCTGAGTTCAGGTAGCCTTTCACAATCAATCTGATAAGAATTACGTGAGGGCCCTGAGTGTAGATGTTCTGCTCTGAGTAGGGCAGATAGAGGGGAGACCTTTGCAAAAGATAAAAAGCATAGTGTGATCCTTCCAGGTAATGTTTCATTAATGTCTGTTTAGTAGGAACCTTGTTAAATGAGAGAAGTCAGCTGAGGAGCCTGTGCTGCCTGTACTTGGAACCTTGTCCATGCACTGCACAGGGGTCCAGGTTGCAGCAATCCCAGCTGGAATGGCTTTTGCTGGTCATGGCTCTGACTGGAACAAGATGCTGTGTTCTGGTGTTCCACCCCTTGGAGTCACCCATTGCTTTGTTGCTGTATCTCACCCATTTCATTATCACATTTTTTTCTTTTTCCTCTTCCTTTTTGTAGAATGCTCTTGAGATCAAAGAACTCAAAAAGTACGGCCCCTTTGACCCATATATCAATGCCAAGGTGTGTACTTTGCTGTCAGCATTTCACTGCATCATCACTCCAAGCTGCACTCGCGTGATTCCAGGTGCAATAATACCTGTTCACTTTGCAGCTGCTTGGGGGAGAAGGAAAATGGGACCATTCATTTACTGTGGGTTTCTCTCTTCAAAGCAGTTATAGAAACATAATTAAAGGGAAGCTTTTCCTTACTTTCCTGGGGGCTCCTTCCTTGCTTAGCCTTGTAGGACTCGTGGTGATGGTCAGTTTGCTTGATTGGGCTGGATGACTTCCCAAAGGTAATGCTACTTCAACGTTTTAGGTTTTGTTTCATGTGCTGATGTTGCTGATAAATGCAAAGAGAAGAAATTTTTTTCCCTGCTTAATCATGGATGCATTTTCTCTGTGGGCTGTTTGGAGTGAATTTTTATGCCTTTTCTCCTACCAAATGCATAATGCTGTGTGTGTTATTTGAAAGGACAGTTAATTCCTGTGGTGGTGGTGGGGAGAAGGGAAGGCAGTGACATTCCTGCCTCCCTTCCCAAGTCCTCCATGTCCTGCTTATTGCGTCAGTCTATTTTGATGTTCATTCTGTGGTGTTGTCTGACCCTTCAGCCCTGGTTTCCTGTTCCTGTTTTCTGCCCTGTTTTGCTCCTCTCCTGCTTTTAGTTGTTGAACTACAAAAGGCACAACATTGGCTTGTGTGTTGTGCTGAGGCCGAGCTGTTTGAGGGAACAAATCAAGTTCCTGGTGGTGTTTTCTCAGACACCCTTTTCAGTTTTATTTCCAGTGAAGCTGCAATGCTGGGATGGCAAACACTTTGCTGCCCTGTCCTGAGACACCTTTGCCATGAGCCACTGTACCACAGCTGCTTCCAGCCACTTATTTTGGATCAAGCCATCCATGGCAGATTTCTGTCTCTCAAAGTTTTTTTTCCCTTCTGTTTGATTGCAGGACCTTAGAAACACGCAACCAGAGTTCCTGCACTTCCTGGGAGCTAGGTGTGGTTTTGCAGAGCCCTGTTTCAGGCAGTACCCAGTGCCCATCCTCTGAACCCAAACATGTTCTCTTAAAGCTTATCTGAACTGGGGATTTTTAAAAAAATCCAGGTGGAATTTTGCACCAACAAATATCTTCTGTGGAAACATCATAGTTAAGCAGTTGCCTGAAAGAAGCTTCCAGAAACATTGTCAGTATAACCAAGTGAAATCTTACACTTTCCAGCACTGGGCTGTTGAATGAAGAAGGAATGTAAAGGGGGAATACCCAGTGAGATCCCTTTCCTATAGATTTTTGTTCACAGAGTGTTCTAATTTGGATTTTATACTGTGGAGAAGTGCATTCTTTAAAGCCTTGGTTCAGTGTTCACAACGGCTGAGGTGCTCTCTAGAGCAAGGCAGGATTTGCTTTGGTTTTAAGGAGAGAGAGATGATTTGCACACAGTTGTTGGGGTTCATCTGACCAGCTTTGCACCAGTTCCTGACTAGGTGAAGAGTGTGTGGAGTCATACCTGTCACACAGACCTTGCTGTTCTCTCAGTGCACTGGAGCAGCCAAACAGCAGGTTGTCATTAGGGCAGGACTCAGTTGGAGCTGCAGACACCAGCTAAAATCCTACAAAGCAATCTTAGAAGTAGGTTAGGTGGGACCAAAGGGTCATGCAGCCACTTTCCCTAGCCCTGGGCAGGATCAGGTCTCCCTAAACCATTCCTGATCAGTGTTTGCTCGGCAACTTCTCAGAAAACTCATAGAGGGGCATATCTGTGGACTCTGGCAGTTTATTTGACCCTTCAGATCTTTGCAGGTCAGAAGACTTTCCCTCATTTGACCAAGTCTCCCTTTGCTCAGGCGGAGCTGTCTCAGTGTGTTGGAAGCAGGGGATGCAGGATGGAGGGTGCAGGGCAGGGAGTGCAGGTTGAGGGTTGCAGGACAGGTGCACTTTAAGGGGCTCTGGATTCTCCATTTTAGCACGTGAGGAGGAGTAGCAGGGCTGTGTGTGCTGAGTGGTATCTCTTACCGGGCTTGAAAACTGTGGTGGAGCCCATATGGAAGCAAAGCCATTCCTGCTTATGTCCCATTTGTGATCTGCAGAAAGGCATCATGCGTGCCCAGCTCCTCTCCCCTGGCTGTGAGCTGGGGGATGTGAGGATTCCTGCAGGAATGCAGCCCCTGGGCCCTCCTGAGTGCTCTCTTTCTCTAAGTAGTTCTGAAATTTGAAGCCATGTGCCTTCTGGCTGCTGCAATGGAATTTTCCTTTTCCATCTCTGATAAATCTGTGTGTCTGAGTGCTCCTGCTCACTGCTCAGGCTTCGCTCTGGTTTGTGCCTGGAGAGGTGACGTGAGAAGGGAGCAAACTCCCTTGCCTAGAAGGACTCTAGTATTTTTGGCTGCTCAAAGCTTTCCCAAAATGGAGTCGAAGACTTGGGCAATAGTGGGAGTTTCCAGTGCTCAGTCTGGGACAGGGAGAGACCTGCTGTAACAATCTCCACTGCAGGAGGAAAGTTTGGGGATTTCACCTTAAGCATCAGAGCCCCGACCTGCTTAGGGAAAATTGGACTAAATTGCAGTGAAGATGAGGGAAGTCTCCAACAATTATGTTATTAAAGGATGTGTTCCCATTTCTGAGCCCTCAGGCAGGTGTTTGGAGCTGCTGCATGCTTTAGAGCCCCCCTGATGGATATGGTCCTTGTGCTGAGGAGGCAGGAGAGGGGGACAGCCCCAGTAGCCAAGGCAGGCATGGCATGAGCAGCATGTGCCCCCTGGCTCTGGCGCAGGAACCCCATGCTCAGAGGGGCTGAAGTCATCCACTCTTTCTGCTAAGCCTGGCAGCAAGACCCCCTCATGCCACAGGGCAGGCTGAGGGCCGGGGCCTGGCTGTCGTGGGCTCCCTGATCCCTGCTCTCCTGATCCTGTGAAATGGGAATAAAGGGATTTACCAACCCTGTAAGTGCCCAAGAGCAGCAATGTGAGCTGACGGACAGGTGTGAACCCTGATGTCCTCTACTCTGTCCCCTCTCATTCCATTTGTATATTTTATGTGCAGACTTCTGTATCCTGCAGTGACCTCTGTCCACGTGTATGTGCCTCCCTCCAGGATAGAGCCTGTTTGACTTGGACCTTCTGTGCCTGCAGCAGTGCTTTGCCCCCCTTTGCCCCCTGCATGTGGCTGGTGCTGCTCCTGCCTCCTTGGCTTTGCTTCCTCCAGGCTGCAGCTGCCAGAGCTTTTCCCAGCTCCTGCTCCCCTCATGCTTTGCCTGTGGCTGAGAAGTGATGCAAAAGCCAGGTGTAAATAAGGGGGGGGTTTGCAGGACTCCTGTGAGCCTGAGAGTGACCAAACACCTCAACAGGACCCAAGTGCTCATGTGGCCCTGCAAGTTTGTACCATGGTGCCATGTACTGACCAAGCCATGTCCAAAGGCGTGTGTGTGCTCCTGCAGCAGGAGGGCAGGGATCCAGTTCCCTTCTGAAGTGGTGCTGCTGCCCTCCAGCAGGACAAGCACATTCTGTTCATTTTAATGGGACTGTTCTTAAAATGACAAATTCAACCACCGTTCTCTCAGCTGAAGCTGGAGTGTGTAACGGTTTGTACTAAACTTTTTTGGGGTCAAATTGTCAGGTAGTTGTTTCTGAAGTGCTTAAACCACAGTCCCTCTGTGGATAACACACAGTAGTAAAACTAAAAACTTGAGGGGAATTTAATTGAGAAGAGGCTCTGGCCGCGTTCCTTTTGTGCACCTGCATGTGCAGTGTGTTGCACTGCTTGTCTTTGGGCTTTGCATTGCTGGTTCTTAGCCCAGCTGCTGCTGCACACACTGGTTTGGTCTGGCTTCGAACCTGGAGGTGCTGCCTTATCGGTGGGACATTGCTTCTCTCAGCTGATCTGAGCCCTGGCTTGTTCCTGGGGTGATGGAATTGCATGGCTCTCCGGTTCACAAACTGCATGGAACTGTGTGCACCCTGTCTCTAAACAGCTGGAATTGCAGAGGTGGAATGACTGTTGCAATCAGGATAAGTAGAATTTGAAACAATTGAAGTTTAAATCTAAAACTATGACGATGAAACTCCAGCAGACAGAATTCACACAGCAGGTTGCCTGTCATATATTCAGCCTTTTATTTTTGTGGCACCCCAAAGTGTGGGATGCTGCCAACAGATACCAGACTGCTTTCCCCAGGTGAATTAATGGGAATTCAGATACAGCTCAACACCCCTTAAACTTTAGTATGGCCCCTGGATTCTGACCCAGTGCTTGGAGAGGAGGCTGGTCCAGCTGTAGCCCCTCTTTCCCACAGCTCTAACCCATTGCTCTGGACGTTCCTGAAGCTGTGGCTGGGTGGGCAGGTTGATGAGCTCGTGAGGGGATGTCTGTGCTTGGTAAATGGCCAGGTAGATGATGAGATATTGCTCCAGGCTGATTCAGACTGGGCTCTCTGCTTCCCCACTGCTGCGGTGTCTTGTTTTTGCATTTAAACTTCAATGTTGGAGCGAGGTGTGGAGGGGCTGCTCCCCCTGCCCTGATGTGCTGCTGTTTGTGACCCCCAGAACAACGACAACGAGACGGCGCTGCACTGCGCGGCCCAGCACGGCCACACCGAGGTGGTGAAGGTGCTGCTGGAGGAGCTCACCGACCCCACCATGCGCAACAACAAGTTTGAGACCCCCCTGGACCTGGCTGCGCTCTATGGGAGGCTGGAGGTTGTCAAGATGCTCTTGAACGCCCACCCAAACCTTTTAAGCTGCAACACTAAGAAACACACTCCCCTGCACTTGGCAGCCAGGAACGGTCACAAAGCCGTGGTCCACGTCCTCCTGGATGCTGGCATGGACAGCAACTACCAGGTACCTATGTCTGTCTGTGGGGCTGGGCTGATTGCTGGGGTCAGAGAGCGATACGGAGAGCTCCCCCGACCCCTCCTCCCAGAGGGAGCGCTCATGGAAGATGTGGAGAGCTTTGTGTTCTGCTGGGCTGTCTGTGCAACTCTTGGTTGCTTGGGGGGCTGCCCAGAGGGACTCAGGTGCTGTGCATGTCTCACGCCTGCTCAGGGGCCGGGCAGAGCCCCGGACACAGAGCGAGGAGAGAAACGTCCTTTTGCTGAAGCTGCTCTGCCCTGCAGTGCTGGGAGCCTTTGATAGCGTTTGAGGCAATCGTGTCTCTTCCTATCAAGCCACTTGTGAAACTTGTGAATGTGCTGTTTTCACAGCAATGGCTTGTATGTGGGTCTTGTCTTTCCTTGTCAGGACATGACCTCTTGCCAAACTGTAGAAGGACCTTTATTGGTCTCTCACCTTGACCCACACATCTCTGACGGGACCATCCGCATTTTCCATCCCACATCCTCACCATTGTAATAACACTGACAGTCCCATCCTCAGCTGTAGGTAGTGCTGCCCATACTGTATGTACAACACCATATATTTACTGCTTCTGTAACCCTCTAAGCCTTGCCTCCCTCACCATTCCCTGCTGTCTGGCTTCATGCTATGTTTCCATTTAATTTGCAGACTGAGAAAGGCAGTGCTTTGCACGAAGCTGCTTTGTTTGGCAAGACAGATGTGGTACAAATATTGCTGGCTGCAGGTGAGAGAATGTTCCCCCTTTGAAGCACTAATGTGGCGATCCCTTCACCCAGAGCTTGAGGAAATCCCACTCTAGTGCAGCAGGTTTCTCCATCCAGCTGTCGGAGCTCTTTGGAGCAGGTTATGAGAGAGGTTGGCTCTCAGCGTTTCACTTTAGATTTGCCTCTAGAGCATCTTTTAGCTTCCCCCAGTGATGATCACAAATGTGACTTGATGAAAGACATGAACTTGCATGTAGTTAGACAGTATTCTTGCTTTTGCTCTCTCTACCCCGTTGCCACAGGTATTGATGTGAACATAAAGGATAACAGAGGCCTGACCGCTCTGGACATTGTGAGGGAGCTTCCTTCCCAGAAAAGCCAGCATATAGCAGCTCTGATTGAAGGTGGGTGATGCAGCTCTGCCTGTAGGGAGGAGAGGAAAGCTCAGGGTGCTGATTGTGCCTGGACAGGTACAGGGTGTGCCTCTCTAGACCTGGAAACTGCCGAAAACAAAGCAGCTTCAGGCTGTGTTGGAAGGAATGATGCTCGAACGCTGGGGTGAACTCCAGACCAAATGTTTGGAGGAGGACTTGGGGAGGGGGGCTTTGAGGGATTAGCCTTTTGCTGAAGAAGTGTGGCATGACTTTTACAGTGCAAATGGGCTTAATTGAGCTTTGTTCAAGTTGCTTTAGAAGTTAATTGAAACTAAGGATATCCTAAATCTGCTTGCAGAATGCAAAGTAACAGCTTTAGAAATGGTTTTGGTGTAACTCCCCTTTATGTGTCTGTGTAGGCAAATAGTCATCCACAGATTTCACATCCTGCTTCTCGCTTCGTTGTGAAGCTTGGGCGTGGAGTTTGCAGATGAGATTTACAGAAAAGGCCTTGATTACTTATGGTTTATAAAGGAGCTTGGCCCATTGTGTCTGTCCAAGTTCAGGAATGAAATGTGACATCTTGGCTAAATTCATACTTTGTAATTACACTGTCTGCATTTCCTCTCAGCTGTGGGGAGGATCAGAAGCGTTTGGAGCTGGGGTGCATTATTCATTCTCAGCATTTGGGAGCTTTGCAGTTTCAAAGCACTTCGCAGACTTTTAACTAAGCTTTGCCTGTGAGGCTGGTAGGCTTTAGGTTTATTCTAAAACTGAGGACAAAGATGGGCTTTAAAACTGAAGGTCTTGCAGGTAAAGGCTCTCAGTTTGCCCCGGGAGGGAGCTGCTGTTGGACATTACTCACATCAGCTGATTGCATCTGGCTTTACCCCTGGTTAGGGGGCTGCAGCTGTAACTGGTGTCTCTGTCTTATGGCTCTGTTCAGTGATGGAGCTTGTGTCTACAACACCGATCTGCTCTATGACGCTGTCCATACAGCAGCTTTGCAGCTTTCTGATTAAAGACTCTAAAAGTTCAAAGGCCCATCTGTACCCTTGTGCCTGTGATTAAAGAGGCCGCCTGCTTCTATTCTGGGATCTGAGCTGCAAGGTTTAATAATGTGCTTTGGTTATTTTTTGGAAACTTAATAAGCTGACAGTTGGCCTTCCACCCGCATGGGAGGAAGTGCCATGTGCTGAAGGGGACAGAAAACCAGCCTGATGTGAGCTGACCCTGTGCCTCACCCATTCCAGATTACACCATTGGGAAGAAAAGTGCCAAAGCTGCAGAGAAGTCTTCTCCAGCCCCGCTCGCTCCAGCCACCGATCCTGCGGGCCGGACATCTCAGGGTGGGCACCACCGGCTCTCCTCTCCCTGCGAGTGCTGATGCCGAGGGCAGGAGCCCTGGTGATGAGCCTGTGTCTCTCTTCCTCCCCCAGGAGATGTGGACAAAGCTGTGACAGAGCTGATCATCAATTTTGATGTGAACCCCGAAGAGGAGAGCCCGTACGAAGCGTTGTACAACGCGACGTCCTGCCACTCCCTGGACAGCCTGGCCAGCGGGAGATCGTCCGACCGGGAGTCTGGGAACAAGGACGCTGAACCGACCGGCCCCAAAGCAGCTGCGGTCAGGCCTGTACGTAGCTGTGTGTGTTCAACCCTGCTCACCCTAGGGGCACAGGGGACTGGCCTCCAGTGTCAGGTTTTGCAGCAGGCTGCCAATCCCTCAGCTGGAGGAAATCTTTAAACCCATCCCTGACACTGATTAAAGCAGAGGTGTGAAATAAGCTCAGCTCTGCTACAGATAAAGGAGAGGCTGAACTGCAGTGAGGAGGGAGCAGGAAGAGGGATGTACTCCAGGAGCTTGCTGGAGTTTCTCCTCAGACTTGCTGTTTGAGCAGTGCAGCTCTACTGCTTCCCTATGCCATTAGATGGAGCTGTGGCTGAGCAGGAGGTGGCCTGGGGAAATGCTCTGCTTCGGACGGGCAGCAACTCCAACTGCCCACTGGCAATTGCTGGATATTGGAGGAGTTGGTGCAGCACTGTCTCTTGATCTCTAATTTTCCACTCTAAAAAGTGCCTCTGGCATCACTTATTCCTGTTACTGTTTCACTAAGACACAAGCCATGAGTCTTCCTTTTCTCCCCATCAGCTCGTTCCTGACTCCCTTGTGCAGTGCTGTGCTCTGGGTGTGGAGTGAGACCTGTGTGAACAGGACGAGCTCTGCCCAGATCAGTCTGCAGGAGAGGCGGAGGAAAGGCAGCAGCCATTGCCCAGCTCTGTGCTGTCAGGGCTGAACTACTCCTCTGTCCAGATGAATGTGGGGAGGTCCTTGCTGCATCCACAGCAGTGGGGACTTAGGGCTGGTGTGAGCAGAAGGGCAGAGCTGCACCAGCACAGCTGACAGTGCCTGTCTAACCCGCAGAGAGAACGTCCCCCGCCGCCGGCCAAGCCCCCGCCCGATGAAGAGGAGGAGCAGCATGTGGAGAAGAAGATAGGTCACAGTGCTCCCTCTGAGGTATGTGGGGCTTGATCTGGAGTGTTTTATGGGACAGTGGTTCAAAGACCAGTTTTAATAATTTGGGAGGAGCCAAGGATGCTCCTGTGCTAGTGGGCTGTGAATGTGAAGCATTCCCTCATTCGGCATTGCTACTGTCCCTTGCCATGGGAACTTCCTTTGTCCGCTTCTTCCAGGGCACCTCAGTGTTGACCTTCAGTCTTACTTTCCTATTCTTGGCTGAGAATTCCCTTAGGAAGAGGCTTTTCTGAATCACATTGCGATGTGGACCATTGCCCACTTGTACAGATCCCACCACGTGCATCTTCACTTGGACCAAAATGCAGAGACACCAAGAGTTCCTGCTTCCTCTGAGCTCCCAGCTGTGTGGGCTTGTGGGCCCCACTGACATGAGCAGGGATCAGGGGCTTAAATTCAGCTGAGGATCTGGCCTATCACATCTTAAAGCTGCCTTCTGCATGTGAGCTGCTTTCTGATGGAACTAAAGCTCTCACATTCCATATTGTTGCTCCTGGGCTTCCTGTTGCTCATCTTTATTCACCTACCTGTGAACCTCAAATGTGAGGGCTCTCCAGGAGACACGGCTGTGGGAAACCACAAATGTGTCTTGGCAACTTGTGCTGACACCCAGGAAAACCTTCAAAGCAAACCCAAATCCTGTGGATTTCTACGCTTTCCCAAAGGCAGTGGGTTGTATGTGAAACCCGTGGAGTGTGTGCTGCCTCTGCTGTCGGGGCAGGCTCTGCTTCAGCACATGCCTTCTTTGAATGTGCACACTCCAGCTGATCTACTGCAGTTCTACAAGGCATAAATGGGATCTGTTGTCTGGAGTGTGTCAAATCCACATGAGATATGAGTGAACAGGGTCTGCTGTAATACAACTGACCTCAGAGAGAGTAAAGCTCCGAGCTGTGCATGAACAGGGGAACTGGTCTGTGACATTGTGGACTGATCCCTGCACTGCTGTTCGAATGCAGGGGCTGATAACTGGTCCTGTGCCTGGCTCTGGCAGAGGAGAGCTGGGCAGCAGGTCGTGGCATAATTGGGAAGCAGAACTTGTTTATGACAATAAACACGAGGGAGAGAAACGTGCCCTGACCGCTCCTGCTAGAGGTATCTTGCCATGTTTAATTATAAAACACCTGCTGTGTTGTCCTGCCATTAATGGTTTTGGAAGCATGATCCATTAAAGGGAATCTTGCTGGCAAATGGCAGTGGCTCACCAGGGAGATCTTGATTTGTGACCAACTTCGATGATAGAGCTTACGGGCAGTGTGTGGCTGCCTGGAAACAACCTTCTGGCTGTACTGATGAGATAGTTTGGGGCTGATCCTTTTCCTTTGATTGCTTCTCCTGGCCTGCTCTGCTTTTCCCTGCTTTTCTTGCCTATCTTTATCACCTCAGTGCATGTTCTCTCTGGGTCAGGCAGGCATGAACAGGAATATGCTTCGGAGTGCTGTAAACATCTCGCTGCAGCATCCCAATCTGCCATCCTCCAGCCCTGCTCTCCCATTGGAGCCAGGACAGTTACTCATTGAATATTCTGGGGTTGGGCCAAATTCTAGTTTCCAAAGTAGTCTTTTTATTCCTTGCCAAGCTGGGACTATCAGTTAAAACAGATGAGTGTAAACAAACTTTTCACTTTCATCACGGAAAAATGTTGGTACAAACAGGCAAAGGAGCTGATTGTGTGGAGGTGCTTGAGTGGTGCCTTTCACTATCTCCAGAAACCTTCTGGGTTTAGAGTTGAGTAAGAACCTGGGTTGTCAAATTAAACTTGGGTTCCAACTGTTTACTGCTCGTCTCCGGAAGGGAAGTGCAGATCAAGGACAAGGCACCACAGTGGTTCCAGCAGTTTGGTCTGCAGCTCTGGGGAGGGAGGAGAGAGGAAGAGATGAGTTACCCTTTAGAAAGGCTTTCAAAGTCCTCTGCTGTGGATTAAGTACATCTTAAAGAGCCTCCTCATTATTCACCCACAGCATCTTTTTTTGCTTTGTGAACATTTGTATGTGCAAACAACATGTCTGAGGAACTGGAGGCTGCACTGGAAGAAAGCTTTATTTGGTGTTGTTGCTCCTGGTCACAGAGCCCACAGAGCAAGCACAGTTCTCCAGCAATGGTCTTCATTTTGAGTGAATTTGAACTTGAAACTCTGTTTAAGGCTTGGAAGGATGAGAGGTGGAGAAAATCAAGTGTAACCAGGCCCATGGATACCAGCACAGAAGTTCACAAAGCGAAAGTTGGGAACTATGTGCTGCTGAGGAGTTCCTGCCTTCAGTGCATTTAAAGAGGACAGCACAGGAATCACCATCCACTGGAGTGTCAGGAGAGCACCAGAGCCTGGCTGAAGGTCCAGGCTGCTGCTGTGCTGACAGGCTGCTGCTGGGCAGGATTTTTCCAAGATCTCGGGTGAGAACATGTTACCTGCTGTTCTGGTCTGATGGTTTTGTGCCACCATCTGGTCAGAATTTTTCCCCTAATTTGCTCATTACGAGCTCCTTCACCTGGAAGGGAGCAGGTCTGCCTGGCAGCTCCTGCTCAGAGCAGGTACAATAAATACTTCCTGTGCCGGACACAGCCCGTTTCCTCCTATTGAGAAAGTCGCTTTAAAAGCCATCCTGGCTCATGCAGAACAGCACAGGGATGTTGGAATTCTGTCTGTGCTGCTGACTCCTGGGTGTCTCTCCAAGCTTCCAGTGCTCCTGGCTGGGTTGCAGTCAGGTAGGTACCGATTTGCCCCTGGAGCAGCTCTGGTGCTTTCACTTTGGGGCAAAGGAGGAGGTGGTGTGTTCTCTACTGGTGAGGCAGTGGGAATTCCAGGAGTCTGAGCAGTAGGAGCCCTCTCTGGAGGCATGTTTTGTTCAGAACTGTCCTGGCAGCAGGTAGGGATCATTTGCTTTCTGGCTTTGAGTTGACTGTAGTCACACATTGGGATCACAAATGGTTTGGGTTGTAAGGGACCTAAAAGACTATACAGTTCCAACCCCTTGCCATGGGCAGGGACAACTTCCACTAGACCAGGTTGCTCTAAGCCTCATCCAGCCTGGTCTTGAACACCTCCAGGGATGGGGCAGCCACAACTTCCTATCACCCCATGCCCCTCCCCAGCTCTCTTGGAGCCCCTTTAGGCCCTGTTGCCAGGGCTCATTACTGGGTCGTGTTGAGCTCCTGGGGCAGGGTTGCATCAGTCTGCCAGAATCTGGCCAGGAGATGGTGCTGAAAGGCAGCTGACTGTGCTGGCAGGGTGCCCTGAAGGCCAGTTTAGCCCCATCAGCACTGGGATGGCACCCAGGGATATCCAGGGCCTGTCATCCTTGGCACTGGTGTAGGCCAACATGTGAGAGTCTGCAGCAAGACTTGTCTGGATCCTGTGCCAAAACCTTGTCCCTGGACATGGATAGTAGCTTTTCAGAGCAGCTCGGGGAGGGTCTGCCAGGGTTCCAAACCAGCTCTAACTAGAGGCTTTGGGGGATTTAAATAAGTACAGTCACTGCTGCACATCCTGGAGTTAAACTGAGTTCACACAGTGCTGCCTGAGGACCCTTTAGTCCCGAATATGCCACCCATCCTGAGGTCAGAAATGCTGGATCTGAGAAGATAGCAGGGATTTGGGCCTTTGTTCTTCTCAGCCATGTCCTAGTAAGGCCAGCAGCTAAATAGTGAATGACAATGCAAATTCCAATAGCAACAGCGAGTCTGAGTTGGGATGAACAGGAATAACGGTCTCAGCTCTTTTCCCCTCCAGGCTGTCTGCAGCTCTTGCACATTGAGTCGGTTGGTCAGTGCTGGAAAGCTATCAGCAGCCTGAGATACTAAAAATTAAAGGGGTTTTGGATGGGGGTTTGTTGAGGGTGTTTAAAAAAAAGGGCAGGGGGTATTACATTTTGGCTCACGCTCTGCAGCAAAGGTGTTCCCTCTGCTAATTCCTGGCTTAACCAACCCCTGGCATAGCGGCCGTGGGCTTTATGCCAGGACAAAGCATTGCTTCGCAGAGCTCCACATTGTGCTGTTCTTCATTAGGCCTCTGCTGCCTGGGAGAAGAGCAGGGGAAGTGGAGCTGAGGAAGAAGAACACCCGTACGAGCTGTTGCTTACAGCAGAAACTAAAAAACCAGTTGCAGTGGACAGGAAAACAAAAGGTGAGTGACCATCCAAAGAACAGAGCACTTCAGGCACTTCTGTGCACTTCAGGAAAATATGGAGGGCAGAGGGCAGCTGGAACAATGGGAGTAACTGCTGGGTGGGGGCTGGAGGGTGATTGTTGTGTTTCCTGGTAATCTTCCCTCTGGTACAGGAGAGCTCGGAGTGTTCCTGTACAGAGTGTACGCGGAGGGAGGGCAGCTGTGCTGTGAGATAGCTGAGAGATTCTGAGGACCTGCTCTGTGAACTCAGAAATAGCCAAATCTTGTGCTCAGCCAAGCAAATGCAGAGGGTGGGAGGCTGGAGGCTGTTCCAGGGGAGATGACCAACATGGAGTGTTCCAGTGAGCTGCGTTCTCCATCCAGCTGGCGCTGCAGGTTTCTGCTATCCTGCTGTAAAATCAACATCCTGCTCTGTGTTAAAGCTAATTCGAGATGGAAACGAAGAGAGAAGTGTGTAGAGCAAGAACTAGAACTGACACATCCACAGGGTAGCCAGGTATATATTGAACCAGTCTGTCCTCCCCCAGGGGGAATTTTTGTGGGAATACCTTGTCTCTTGTGTTTGGCTGTTGGCTTTTTCGCTTTCTTTCAACAACAACAAAAAAGATTTGTTTAGAGGGAAAAGATTTCCAGGTTTATTCAAAAGTCTTGAGGAGGAATTTGGAAGTATTTAAATTGGTCTTTCACACTGGAACCCTTCTCATTCTGTGGATGGACAAGGGTTGCCTCACTGAGTGCCCTGTCAGACCTGCAAGTGTTTTCCTTCCTTGCAGTGCGTTAACTCTCGTTACTCAAGTCCTGCTGCTATCCTGACTGGCCCAGGGTGGCACAAGAGGTCATTGCATTCCCACCAGCACTTGCCAAAGTCCCCTCACTGCCAGAGGCAAAGTTTTGGAGCTTTTCAGGTTGCTGTTTTGCAGTCTGGGCCATGAACAGTTCCTGGGTGACAGCCACTGAGCCAGAGCTTTCAGGCTCTCGTCAGCAGGCAGCTATTGCTGGCTATTCAAGCACGAGCTATTCCAACTGCTCCACTCCTTCCTTTGGCTGCTGTGTCCAGTCTTGATTAGTGTGAGAGGAGGTGTATCCTAATTATGTGTCAGATTAAAACAAAACCTCAGAGCAATGCAGCTGTGTGTTCTTGATGCAAAACTCTTGGCCTGAGCACCTGAAGACATCATGAGAGGCTGCAGGAAGATCTTTAGCCTTATGCAGATCCAGAGCAGAGTCCTGTCTTTTAATCTACAGCTGGAAAGATAAAAGCTGTGACTTCAGGGTTTGCAGTCCATGGAAAGTGTTGCTGTGTTTGTAACAAGTGTAAAGCCCTTCCCACTGTTGTAGTGGGAGAAATCCAAGGGTGCAGTTGAGTTTTACTCATCTTCCAAGACTTGCCTGCTCTTTAAATGCAGTCAGTGACTGATGGAGGGGGGAAGATGCATTTAGGGACTAGAAGAATCATTTTGGCAAAGAGTTAAACAAGGGCTGAGGAAGGAGGGACTGAAGCCTTTGGTGGGGTGTTGGACAATTTTTCCACCTCTGGGTCAGAAGGGTCCTGGAGCATCAAGGGCAGCAGCTCCATCCCAAGACACGGAACAGGCTAAAGATGGCTTTGAACTGCTTCTTGGCCCTCGATCTGAGGGTCTGGGCTTCTGGATGAGTTCTGGAGGAGCCTTTGGTCAGAAGATAAGGAGTCGGGTTCTTGTGGCTGCTGGAAGGGCGTTTCAGGGCAGCGGAAATGCTGAATATCAAGCACGCGGGTTTAATGGTGCCTTTCATCTGTGATAGCTGCCTTTGTTCCTCTGGCTGCCAGTTGTCCTGTGTCCAACAAGCAGATGAATATGGCATTGTCCACTGGCTTTGGTGGCCTTTGTGTCTGTTAGAGCAGCTTGCTGTCACATGCTGGAGCACTGGGAGAAGTTGGCCTCATGTTTTGGGCAGAGGATCAGAAGTGGTTTAAGCCAAATACTCTCCCTTCTCCTTTGGTGTTCAGTCATATGTGTGAAGTCAGGGCACTCAGACTTTGTAACAGGACATGAAAATGAGTCAAGAGTGGAGGACTGTGTGTAGAGTGACCAGGAGGAGACCTCTTAACTCCTGCTGCCTCGAAAGAGACCTGATGGAAGGTGAATGTGGAAAAGATTTTTGAGTTCTGATGTGTCTGGCTTCTCAGGAATCACCCCCAGGTGCTGTCAGCAGTGACCAGCTGCAGGTAGGACTGACTTGGTGCCTTCTGATAGTTATTACAGACTGATGCTTGTCGAGGTTGTTCCGTGCTGCTTCCATAGGACAGTGTCTCATTACTTTTTCTGAAGAGGGGAGGGAGTACACAAGACCACAAGTTCTGGTGGATAAATTCTGTCTGGAATGACTGAGCTAGGTGAGACTAACACAGGAGTGTGCCATCCTCAGCTGGGTTCCACATGCAGTACAGGCTGTGGAATGAGCCCGTGGTTCATTTCTACTGCAGGTGAGGGTGATTTTTGCCAGCTTCCTCCTCAGACCTTCTGTGCCATGGGAAAGAGATTTGCCTGCTCCTCACTTGACAAATTCTGGCCTGATGTAGCATGGAGAACCTTTTCCATGTGCAAGTCAGAGGCTGTTGTATGCCCTTTCTAGTTTTAAGGTTGGGGAGCTTGAGGAAACAGCAGCTGCAGTAACAGCTTCATTCTCCTAATCCAGGGGCATGAGACAAATCCTGCTGTTGATATATAGGGAAAGAAATCCAGTCGAGGCAGGGCAGTTGCAACTTAGTGTGGAGTGTTTAGGGAAGTGCTTCATATCTGGAGTCCTCAGGCTGCTGGCAGGGAAACTCTTAATTAAATCCTCCCAGGGGAACAGACAGTATGTACCCAGGAATAGGCTCCTGATCCCAGGAAGGGTTGGAAGCAACCTCTCCTGTGGGTGAGACCTGCAACAGGCTGTGGCCAAAGAAGTCAGGATCAGTCAGGTGATCTGTGCTGGGGTGTAAAATCAGCAAAGAGAGTTGGACAGAAGTCCCTGTTGTAAGGACCCTTTCTGAGTTAGAAGGTGTCACTGGAGCAGGATGACCCTTCCAGATCCCTTAAAACGTGAGGCCTGGAGAGCCCTCAGTGTTCCTGCTGTGTACATCTCAGGGATAAAAAGGAGTGAGATGACTCTTTACTTGCTACATTAGTTCTTTTGTCTGCAGCTCTCAGGGCAGGCTCTGAAATGTGTCCTGCAAGATGTTCCTCACATCTTCCGAGCAAGTGCTGTTGCCCTCACTCCATCTATTCATTCCCTGGCAGCTGCCCTGTATTTTGGAGTCCCTCCTTGGCTTGCAGATGAGTGGGTGGCTGTGATTCCTGTCCAACAGGAGCCCTTTGTGAGGCACTGGAGCTGGATTTGGAGCACTTTGTTCTGGCTGGACTCAAGTGTTCCAGCACGTGGCACAAACTTTCGCCAACCCCCTCTTTGCCTTCTGCAGAAATGTCAGTAAAGGTTAAGCTGGGGCATGGAAGAAATAGTTTCCAAGGAAGGGAGGAGGTTTGGAAGAAAGACTGCAAAAGCTTTCTCCTCCCCACAGGTTTAGGTGGCTGTCCCTTTGCTGCTGTCCTACTCACCAGTCAGTGGCTTTGCATTAGCACCAGTGTGTCCAGTGACTGCAGCACATCTGATCTCCTCTGAGGTTTCTCCCCTTGAGGTTTCTCTCCAGCATTGCAGTTTATGCAAAGTAACTGAGTCCAGTCTGGCCTTGTTATCTGGGGTGCTGCTGCTGACCACTCCCCCCCAGCCAGTGCTGGGACCTGCCTCTCCCTTGGCAGCTCCAGTCACAGAACTGGTGGTTTAATGTGCCCGTGCAAGAGAGTCAACAACTACTTCACTGTCCTGGAATCTCTAACTCATAGGATCCAGGATGAGATAATCCCTCACATCACTAGATCCCAGTGAGCAGTGAGGGCTGTGGTGCTGCCCTGGCCGGGCTCTGGCTGCTCCTGACCCTCCCGTGCCTGTGCGAGGGACGTTGGGCAAGGGGTGCCTTGCACCCCCACACAAGGACTAATTCAGCCCTTTCCTACCCATTTCTGGTGTGAGGGCAGACCACAAAACCCGATGGGTGTTGGTGTTTGAAAATCCTCTGGTCAGGCTTGGTGCTGGAAAGGTGCTGGGGGAAGGAGCTGGGCTCAGTGCTGCTGACAGGCTGCTTTTATTTAAAGTGGAATTCATTATTTTGCTCACGGAAAGGAGAGTTCCTTTGCCTTGGCTTCCCAGAGCTGCTGTCTGCAAAGCAAGCAATTTCCTCTTCACATCCAAACATCCTCCCTGTGTTTCAGAGTCTCATTACTGGGGTGCTTTGCTTTATTGTTCCTTTCCAGCATGGATTTTTGGTCCTCAGACTGAAGAGTTTCTTCAGCACTAAATGGAAGTGGTTAAAATTCTCAAGAAATTCTGGGAGGGCAAAAGAATCCTGGGAAACCAAAGTTAGACTTGTTGACTTGACAGAGTTTTACTTTTGCAGTTGAAAGGCTTGCTCAGCTGTGGCAGGTGAGTACACGCGTGTGTGCACACGCTCGGCACTGGATATCAGTCAATTATTCATGGTTTATGCAGGACCCTGGTACCTGATATTAAGGCTGCTGGGGCAGGAGTAGCAGGGAACCAGTGTCACATTTCTGGGGCAGCTGGTGCTCTGCCAGCTTCGACCAGTCTGTGCTCAGTGGTTCATTGCAAGAGAGACCTTTTGCTCAAGTTTTTTTTTATTGCATAAACTGTTTATTTCTCTCCCCTGAGCAGGGAGGAGAGGTTAAACTCAGAAACCACTAGGGAGGAAAGCAGTGGGTTTTTTTGGGAGTGGATTTTGGAACTCTCAGGTCAATTACAGTCCAGGCACTTTCCCACCCTGCAACCCGTGCCAAGAGCCGGGCGCGCGGCTCCAAATAACGCTTTGGCCTTTATGGAAACGGATCAGATGTTCCAGGAGCCTCTGTCCCTGCTGCTCCCACCTCACTTGCTCTCTCTACAGGATATAGTTAGCACTTCTCTTGGCCTTATATAGCAAGGCCTGATAGTTAGTGTTAACAGGAATAAAACAACACGGAGAGCTGCCAGATTGCGTAAATCGGGCCAGTGTTTGGAATTTCATAAATGCCATGACTTTGGGTACAAACTGAGCACGCGGAACAATACGGAACTGTTCTCTCTTTATCTCTCTCTCACTTGCTGATGGAGGGCAGGGAAAAAGCTGGAATTTTGCTGCTTCTTCCATGTTTTTAATTTCCCCCTCCTCCCCGTTTCCATTCCCTCGAAGACCACAGGAGGAGCAGCGGCGGCCGCAGCCAGGACCCTGCTGACAGCCAGGACATCCAGGTGCCAGAGCAGTTTTCAGGGTTGCTTCACGGTTCTTCTCCGATCTGTGAGATAAGTGAGGACCCTTTCAGGCTCGTTTCCTCTGCAGAGAAGGGGGACACAGAAGCTACAAGCCATCCTGCTGCTATGCAGCTGGAGGATGCTGACTTACCTGTCTCGGGATCAGTACGGACCAGCTCTCCGGACCAGGACCAGGCGGTGGTTTACGCCACAGTGCAGCACGCGCACGTCAGCCGGGCGGGTCCTGCAGCTGTAGTCACGCCCCACGTGCCGCAGCACCCCGGCGCTGCTGAGGAAGAGGGGGACAGAGCTGTGGGCAGGGCCCACCCGGGCAGCAAGCCCAAAGCCGAGCTCAAACTCAGCCGCAGCTTGTCAAAGTCGGACTCCGACCTGCTGACCTGCTCCCCGACAGAGGACGATGCCATGGGGAGCCGCAGTGAATCGCTCTCCAACTGCAGCACTGGGAAGAAGCGACTGGAGAAGTCCCCATCCTTTGCTTCGGAGTGGGATGAGGTAAGGCTGAGCTTGCTTAAGAACCTCTGTGCCAGGAATGACTGCAGCAGGAGCTCCCCTGTGCCACACTGCCCTGGGGGGTCCTGGGTGGGTTCTGTTGCTGTCACTAACTCTCACATGGCATTAATAGACACATGCTCAGTTGGGAGTCTGTAAGGTATAAAGTGCCAAAAGATAGAGTTCACTGGAGTGGGGGAGAAGCAGAATTGCAAGAACTGAGGGGCTTTTCAAACTATCAAAGTTTTTTGCTCAATTACGGGGCTTGATTTCTTTTAAGCGAGACAGATAAGTTTTCACATTCCCAGAATGAGGGAGACTTTATAACAGTGCCCCTTACCAACCTTTATCCTGACCTCCTCCTTCCATTTCTTCCCTATGGACTCTCCCAGCATCTGGAGATGTTGTGTTGCTGGGTTTCTGCTGCTGGGGGGGTGAGAAGTGTCCGGGCTTCATGGAGATGGAAGGAAGAGAGTACTTAGGTTGGTTTGTGTATTGAATAGCTCCCGCTTTCCTCCTCACACACTTATTTCAGCGGCTGGTTAGCAGTCACTTTATTATCATATCAGACGCCCACGGATAGTTAAATATTTCATGCTCCAAAAGTTGGCCCTGGAGAGCCACTGGGGTGAGATTAAGTGTCCCTCTGAAATTCAGCACCGCAGCATTACTGATACATTCTTTGGGGATGATTCTGTGCTGGGAGAGCAGTGGCTGCAGAAGCGATAAGCTGGGATGAACCACTCTTTGTACTCTGAAAGGAACTAAACCCCCCAGCGTGGTGCTGGGGGTGTGGAGCCGCGTGTGCTGAGCATGGAAACCTGTGGGAGGGTTGTGCCCCTGCTACCCCTCTCTGCACTGGCTGTTGCTCAAGCTGCCTCTCCGACCCTGACCTGGAGAGAAGATCGCGTTCTGTGGAAGAGGGCGGTATTCAGAGATGCTGAAAGCAATGTGGGAACTTGTGCTCGGTGTGAGCCCATCCCTCAGTCCGTTCTCTCCCTCCCCCTCACTCCCTGCTGGGTCTCAGGGTTGCCAAAAAGATGTTTTCCTCTGCAGCTGCTTGGGCTGGAGAGGCTTCACTGTTAATTGCCCGGGTCAGTTGTACCATAGCTTAGGGAAAGAGTGCAGCAGAAGGTTTTGGAAGGACTGGATAATTCCCTGTGCTTTTATCCAACGTATTTGCAGCAGACTCTGAAAGGGCAGAAGCCTCTGACTCGACAGTGATGCACAACTGCACTGGTAGCAGAGGTCAAGTGTTGGGCTGCCTGCACTGCCTCTGCTTCCTCTGCTCAGATGAACCCTCGGAGCTGCTTCCTCCTACTTGTAAACAAACCCCTCATTTCCGATGCAGCCGGACAAAACCAGAGAAAAATCTGCTTTTGCTTCCCCTTATGTTTAGGTGAGGAAATCAGAGAAAGAATGTGAAAAATTCACATCTGTCTGCAATGGGGCCTGTCTCACTTTAAAAAAAAAAAAAAAGTACTATTAAAACCTGATGGTTTTGTCTTCCTGACTTCTGGCATAATGGAAACATTTTGTGGAATTGTTGTAGTCTGGCAGCAGCATCCTGTGGCCAGAAGCACTGGTTTGCCAGGGGGTGTCACGGAGCAGCACCTGTGGGAATGGCTGGGAGTTTGCAGGATTTGTGTGCGCAGAAAGGGGTTGGTCTAGCTGGTCATAATGGCAACAGGGAGATTTAAACATAAATGTAGTGTTGTCATTGGGAGTTGAATTAGTTTCTTGGATGGGATAATGCATCTGGTCGGAACTGGATGCAACTTGCAACCTCTGAATTTACCAGGCCAATATAAACCCTTTTGAGCCACCCATGTTAGGGATGGTTTGGCTTTTCCTCTGTGTTTAGGGGAAACAATGGCAGATTTATATTATTCTCTTAATTTTAATAGTCTTTGTGCAGACAACTAAGGAGGGAAGTGATCTCTGTGTGGTTCCCAGCTGTAGTCAGCAAGCCAAGGGCTCTGCCTGCCAGCCTGACCAGCAGTAGGTGTGCAGGGAGTGGTCTGTGGTGTCCCTGACAGATGGGATCCATGGCGGAGGCTGAGCTGGCACTGCCCTGGGCCATGGTGCCACTCTGACAGGGGCAGCAGAAAATCTACTGGTTGGAAGTGAGGGGTCACATCCCTGCCCCGGCTGAGCGCTGTCAATGCCCTTTGTTGAAAGTGGAAGGTGGTGCCGGCTTTGCCAAAAGGGTGGGATGGGGAAGGAATGATTCACTTGGCAAAGCTCATTCTGTTCCCAGTTGCAGCTCCCCTACTCCAGGGACCTGGCCCAGCGTGTTGCTTTGTGCTCTGTACTGGCCAGGAGCCGGTTCAGCCATGTCCTGTCACCTCCTGTTCCCCACTCCTTCCTGGGAGTCCCCGTGGCCGCCGGGGTGGGAGCTCTGCGAGCAAGGCACTGACACTCTCTCATCACACAGCCACGTCTCTCCCAGGACAAGGTGAGCACCGAAAATGCTCGGTCCCTGCTGGAGTGGGAAGCAGAGTGGGGGCAAGGAGGCATGTGAGGGGTAGAGCTCACAGCATGAATATGTGAATCCTTCCAAGCCTGGCTGAGGGCTGAAGTGATAGATTTGGGTTTTGTCATTGGCTCATGAATATTGAGCAAGCGGGGATGATCTGGGCAGCTCACCAGGGGATTTCATGCACAATAACCTGTGTTTGCACCCCTGGGGGGCGGGCTCTGGCACCCAGCTCCACTCCAGCCCCTCTTCCAGGGTGGATTAACCTGCACCTGCTCTGCCTTCCTCCTCTGCAGAGCAGCTCCAGCCCTGCACATCTGCCTGGCTCATGCCCCAGGCTCCCAGCAGAGATCTCTGCAGTCAAGGCCTGGGGCTGCTCATCTGCCTTGTAGGTGTTGGTAAGAAAAACGATCTGTTAAGAGATCAAGGCAATGAAAGAGGCAGGCTGCTGGGAATTAGACTCAGACATGGGTCCCAACATCCCTTAATCCTCCACTTCCAACTGCCTATCAAGTAAGTGGCTCCGATGCTGAATTTGTAATGATCGTGGCACTCAGAGGTTCCAGCATCAATCTCACAAAATGAGGTGATTCTGTGTTCTGACTTCAGCTCTTCTAGGAAGACATTAAACCTCCTTCAAAAGAAATTTAGGGAACTGAATAAAACAGGCATGTTACTTTAGCTTTTTTTTAGAAAAAAGGAGGTGCACGGTCCACCATTTTGATGCATTTTTTTCCCCCAAGTGAATTAGTTGAAGAACTAATGAATATTCTGTAGCTATTTATGGCACTGGACATTCATCTCTCATGACTAACTGCAGTGGTGCTCTATGTCTCCTGTGAAAAGAATGCTTTCCATCTGCAGTAACCATGGATGTGGTGTTTCACCGGTTCCTGACCTGTTTTGGGGGCCTTTATGTCCCCTAAGGGTGGATGCCAGGAGCAGATGGCACTGCTGTGGGTGCCTTTAAACCTTGTCAGGACTGTTGGGTGTTGCAGTACTCAGTGGAATCAGTGCCTTAATTACAGGCTTACAGTGGAGGATTAACAACATTTGCATTGAAAGGTGAAACTTTCAGGAAAGCTCTTGATGCAAAACCTGCCACTGCCTTAAAACACTCAGGAGTTGAAATTCCAAGCTGCCAGCCAGCACTGTTGAAAGAAAATGCAAATATCTCCCTTGTTCCTTAGGGAGAGCTGCTGGTTCTGTGTCTGATGGAATTGCATCATGAAAACTTAGGAGTTTGTGTTCTGAGCTCCTGCCACTCACCTGCCCGAGGGGCTCCTTTCACAGCCCTCAGCGTGCCTGGCTCGCCCTGCTTGTGCTGAGGACATCCCTGCCATGGGGCACGAGGCTCACTTCTCGCTTCCCAGCAGCCTCTCCTCCCAAAGTGTTTTATTTATTCTCTTGGTTCAGGTGTTAAAGTCTCAGCACTTCGCTTGCCCCGGGATGGGCTGATGGGGCCGGGCAGGGCCCGTTTCGGAGCACGGTGGCTTGATCTGTCCCCCGGTGTCCCCTGCCCGAGCTGGCCCTCGTCCTCTGCTCTGCTTCCAGTTTTCCCTTTGCCTGAAGTGGTTTATAATTCATTTTTGTCTAGGGGAGAAGCAGTAACAAGGTCAAGTATTTTTGGTCTAATTTCTGCTAAACAGACAAGGCCATCAGGATCTTAATCGCCTTAATTATTGGGCTGATTATTCTATTATCTCTGGATCCCAGCGTTTCCTCTTGTTTTTCCTGTGCTAAGGTCAGGAATTCTTACATCGTCCCTTGTGTCCAATCTCTTCTCTTTGCCCCCACTGGTGAGATTTCCTCCATCCTGATGAACTTTATGAAGTGAAAGCTTTTGTGTTGCCACCATTTTTATATCTGCTGCAGAGGGGCAGCCTGCAGAACTAAGCCAATCCAAACCAGTGTAAGACAAATTAATGGTTTTACAGGTTGGTGTGCCGGTCTGAAAGGCAGATGCATAAACCAGGCTTTTTTCTTGTGTTTAGCAGCAAAAGTTAGACACAACAGGGGTGACATTTGCCAACTCTGAGAGTTGTCTCAGTCCATCAGAAGCAGATCGGTGACTCTCCCTTGGGCAGCTCTGACAGGGCAGTGAGACATGGCAGGTTATTGCTACCTGGTGGGAGGAACCTCCCATCCACCCTCAGAAGGGTTGTGGAAGTGGCCCCAGGCAGAGGCAAATGCTTCCTGAATCCTTTTCCTCGTGGTCTGGTCGTAGGTCACCCCTCTCAGCCTGCACGTGGAGCTCTGTCAGCCCGGGCGCAGGAATAGTACAGCAGCACCATCCACCTCCTTGTGTGCTTCTGGTAACTTCTCAAGTGAATGAACTTGGTATTTGTGAATCAGGAGCTTGTGATTCTTCTGTGTGAATGATCGAGCTCTGACGGATGTTTTGGTTATGTAACAACCTTGTGATCGTTGGCGTTTTGGGGACGTTTTTGTTTTTCGAGAACAGAAATGTCCTGCTGCAGTGCCCTTACTAAATCCAGTCCTTCATTATGTTCTCTTCCGCTTT